CATACGTTGAAGCGTCGTACTATTCTAACTATCAATTAACAAACTCAACTCCTTTTCATAATAACTATAACTTTAATATCTAAGTAAATATAATAAACATCCTATCACTCCAAGGTTCCACTCAAGACTCCAGCACGACTCAAACATACGTCACAACACTGCATAGACAATACGTCACGACTCAGCATAAAAATACGTCATAAATACAATGGCGGGAAGAGCGTTCACTAACTATAATAGTCGAGCGCGGGAAAAGCGTTCAACAACTAATGAACATAATATTGAGTCGCAACAATTCCTAATGAACGCTCATACTCGACAACAGGCAATATCAGATTCATTCATATTGACTCGATCACTAGGACTTCAGTCAGAGGAAACTTTAATTTAACACATTCATTGTCATTATATCCAGCCATAATAAAATTTTACTTGTTCATTCTAAATAATAGTTTTTAAAAAATTGTTGATATAGATAAGACTGATATTTTTATGGTTAATTGTGTTCCCATATTTTTTTACTAGTAAATTAAAAAAAAGAAAAATACCATAGCCATAGTATTACTTTTCAGATTCTGGAGTTCGTGTGAGTGTTGGCATTGTCACTGTTGGAGTGGGAAAGACAAGAGCAGTTAGTCTTGTCTTAAACTTTATTATTTATTTTTGGAAGTGCCGAACCCCCCTATCCACACAGCTCTGCGAATAATGTTGAGCGTTATCGGCAGACCGAAATCTTCGAATAATGCAGAGCGTTATTGTTAGACAGAAATGTTCCCATAATTACGCACATTTCTAGAAATAATTAAGATCACATTCCAAGCCGGGGTAGGGGTGTAGTTTTAAGTAGTGTAGGAGAGATCGATCTTTAATGAGTATGGCACAAACACATCTCAAAACCGAAGCTACCGGTATGCACAAGTTAAATTTAAAAATTTAATAGGCTTAACTATAGACTATAGCCTATATTATATTGGATATAGGACAATTAATTGCGCCTACATCTGCTCTGTTAGGGGCCAACATAGGGTCTATTCGACCTATAGAGTGTTACTAATAGATCCAGTCAAACCTCCTACTCCTAGACATGACTAATTTTCTGGTATTTCATATTAAATGTTATACCAGTAATAAATATGGTACCGGTATTCTCCATGTAGACTCACTTTCACCCATTGTAAAGATGTCTTTAAATGATGTCAAAGCTTGATAGGATATAGTTAAGTTTTTTTAAAGCACTATCATATATCTCGTAGTCCAGAAATGTTCTGACAGAAATAGTTGACATGCCGTGCAACAGTGTTATGATGCAGAGAGGTGGCTGCATCAGGCGGCCATGTGAGAGACGGGGAGGGGCATATAGACCCTACATCGATAATAACAGAATCTAATCCTGTTTAAGTTTAAGGCTAGTATTTTTTCCTCATCCTTGAGGTTGTCCCTAAGTCTACCCAGCTCTTGCCTTAGCTGGGAAAAGTAAAGCTGGCTGGTTATTGCGCTGGCCATACACTCAAACTTGTAAACGCTGCTTCAATTGCCCCAATGGAACTTTACTTCCCCAAGACTCGCAATGCATCCTACGACCAACAGGGTTCCAATTAATTTTTGTATGCTTTTTTTTTGTATTTAGACCCACAGTTACAACAGTGGCAGTATGGCTTTTTGTTTCAATTATCAACATTTTTTTTACAAGAGCTAAAATTGTTGATGTCAATGATATTGATATGTTTTAAGTACGGTACCGGTATGTGCATTTCATTGTCATCACTAAGTGTTATATCAACTATTTCTGGAGCGGCATATTGTGTCCCTACTTATTATGATACTTATTAGAAAATAAAATGAAACAAATAAAACGTGACATATATTTTCAGCTAAACATTAATACACAACTCTGAGATCTAAAATATTTGAATAAGTAAGTTATTAATATTTATTTGTTTATTAGAGAAAAAAACAAATGGATGTTAAAGTCTATGAGTGGAATTATACAAAGAAAATTAAACAGTCAAAAGAGCTTAAAGAATATCACAATGTGCAGTTAGAACAGCTGTATCTGGCTTAAACATGGTTTATGCGGCTCATCTGCATGTCCATGTTGTTTACAGTTTTTTTTTCGAAACTTGAATGAACATTCTAACAAAATAGATTGAAACTTGAATTTTGAATACTTACGTTGTTGGACAGAATGAAAAGTATAATAAAATTGTATAAATAAAAAGTGCAACATTATTAACATAGTAACTATATGAAAATAATAATAATACTATGTGAACAGTATTAAGAAAGCTATATGAAGACTAGACTATAATTTATAATATAACAATACGAAATAACCATTAAAAAATATTTTTTTTAAAATTGTATTCCCGACGGGGATTCGAATCCTGGTCTTTCTGGTGACAGGCGGAGATACTGACCACTACACTACAGAGAGATGCTTACATGCATTCTTTGTATTCTATATTCATAATTTAATTTATCACATTCGGGGAATAATGTGGAGCGTTATCGGCAGACCGAAATCTGCGAATAACGGCGAGCGTTATCCGCACAGCTCTGTGAATAATCACTTGTTTCCAAATATCTCCCGCACCAATCACCACACTCCACCCAGGATAAAAAGTATTTTATAGGTAATAAAATAAATGTGAAACTAATACTTTACTTTTAGCTATGAATATGAGTACGACTAATAAGAGTAATTTAAGCCTATGACTATGACTATAATAATAGTACGAGTATGAGTATGACTCATGACTGAGTTTGAGTAGTAATGTCTAATGCTAATATTGTTGACCTCTCCCTCAATGGCGTAGCGAGGCAGGTGCGGGGGATGCGGACCGCACCGGGTGACACCATTTTAGGTAAATTACAGGGCAAACATTGCTCGCAAAAATCGAGATTCATAAAAATAAAAGAATAACCGATCAGACATATATTTTTCACAAATGTAACCAATCCAAATGCGTGCTTTATTAAAAGTTCAAGGTTAATGCTATACTGTGGACTTATTTTAACAAGAAAAAATTGATCATAGAAGTTGGGGGGGGGGGGGGGGGGGTGTGACACCATGAGTTTACCGCACCGGGTGAAACCAACCCTAGCTACGCCACTGCTCTCCCTCCACATGCCACATCCCACAACTCTCTAAATTAGAGTAAATGGCACACTAGTTAAAGTTATGACACGTGATGATCCAAAGTGAGAGGCATTAAATATTATTATTTACAGTTTTAGCAACATCACCATTCAAAATCATAAAAAATAATAATTGTGTATGGGCCGACTCTAAGCGACCAAGTTGTAACTGTACTGTTGTCACTGGAATGTCGTTCTCTTTCAATGTAATAAATGCGTAACCATGACAAAAAGATAAAATATTCATAAATTAAAATAAATGTTAGACGAGTCACATTAAACGATTTTAAGCTTTTAATTTTTTTTAACTTTGTTTCCTCATAGTAGTTTTGATTGTTGAAGCTTTAAGCAGCATTACTATGAGTAATCATTTGTCGCAAAATGGCTGACTGGCAGGGCAATTATTCTGTCACAACAACGACAGAAGATCAAATGTCAGCATTTACGGATAAGCTTATTAAAAGAGAAGAGGAAAGACAAACACAGCTTCAAAAACGTAGATTAGAGGAAAGTGAACAGTCGTTCAAAATTCAAGATAGTGTTCGAAATTTTTTAGACTCATTCAAATCTGAACGTCGTGATCTGGAAACTTCGTTAGCTGAGTCAAAAAGTGTGGAGTCCTCAAAACTAGTTGAGCACTTTGACATCCTTTCGCAACGTGTTTCAAAATTACAACGATATGTTTCCGAGTCAGCAATGTTTCTGCCTCCTTACGAGCTAAAAACGGCACAAAATCTTTTGACATCATTGCAGGCAAAAATCCAAGAAAAACGAGAGGAACTACTACCTAAAAAAAGATTTGCATTTAAATCATCAAATAAAAAGGCTGATAAAAGAACAGTTGTATCAGTTGGAAATAAAAGTGAAGAAACGGCAAAAGACTCAAAATCTGAAGATGATCTTGTGATAGAATTAGCAGCATGCAAATTTGTTGGCACATCAAATAAAACTCTGCAGAAAAACGGAAATGAAATTAACCAAAAAGACATTGCTTTGGCAAATCTGACCGACTGTGTTGTGCTTTTATATGGAGCTCCCTCAGCAATTCACATGAATAAGTTAAAGAACTGCAAAATTTTCAGTGGACCTGTGCCTGGATCAATATTTATCAGAGACTGTACTAACTGTACATTTGTGTTAGCTTGTCAGCAACTTAGAATTCATTCAACAACCAATTCTCATTTTTATATTCATGTAACAAGTAAAGCAATCATAGAAGATTGTAATGGTATTAAATTTGCACCATGTAATTGGACTTACGATGGCCAAGATGAAGATTATGCATTGTCTGGGCTTTCCAAAGAGCGCAACAACTGGGACTCAGTTGATGACTTTGACTGGTTGGCAGCGGACGCCCATTCTCCAAATTGGTCAATTCTTGATGAGTCAGAACGTGTTGCTTCATGGAATGTTTAGATTTTTTTTTAAATCTTCTTATTTCAAAGTAAAATAATATTTTAAAACTAATGTGATCGAGGCAGAGTTATTTTTATTTTTTATTGTTTTTTTTTACCTAAATTTGACTACAACTATATTTAACCTTTGGAAGTTCATATAAAAGAAAATGAAAAAAGAAACTGCATTTTAAGTGTTAGAAGGCTTCATTAATATTTAAACCCCCCACTTACTAAAAACTATTTATTAAAATGTGAATAAACCAACATGAAATATTGAAATGAAAATGAGATTGACATAATTTTAGTACCCATTTTAGTCAAGGCCAATGTATACTATTACTTTTTATCCTTTTATAAAAAAATCTGTAATTTTAATCCAAATAAGTTTGTTGTCAAAAAGCACCATAATATTATCATTTTTTTTATTCTCGGATTAAATAGCTTTTATTTCATAATTAGTAACTTTGTTATTAGTACACACTACAGATTTACAAATAGATGCACACTATTTAATTTGTATGATTTATGACCCTCCAATTAGAAGAATATAATATGGAGAGTTTCATCCAAATTTTTATTTAAATACATTTGGCAGGGAAATGAATTAATGTTAAGGATACCTGGTACATAAATTGGGTTAAAACCAGCTGTTTGTCTCACCTAGAACCTTCTATTTTGATGCTGAACACGAAACTGTCAAAGATTCTAAATCTAAGCCATTATTAGCACCCTTTTGTATTGAAAGAAAATTCATAATCGGTGTCAAATGGCTTCAATGTTAATTTTAAAAATTGTAAGTTAAATAAAACTTTTTGAAACTTGCCCACTCAAATCAGCATAACTTTTGCTGATTGAAAAAACTTTATTTTTGAAATAAGTCTACCATGCATGTTTTTTTTCAAAATTAAATTTAGCTGGTCTTTGTGTACAGTAAAAGACATGATCAAATGATTTTTCTCATATTTATCTCAAATTTACTCCTTTATATTTTTGTGGAGTTAGTCATTTCACGACAATTATTATATAATTGGTGATTAAAATGTTGATAGATAAAAACATTTTGTATAAGCAAAGTATTTTTCTTGATCTTTATTCAAAATTATTAAATGGTGTTATTGTAATTAAGTTTATTATTTAGATGAGAGACTTGCCAGTATATCTTGAAAAGAGACACTAACATAACAGACAATAACATACCAGTAATTAAGTAAATGGATTTTGGGTGGCGGGTTTGAAAATTTTATTTTTATGCCGGATAGACTAAATGAATTTTCTGTGAACTCAACTTTTAGGATGCCCATATAAGTTTAAGGCATGTCTTAAATGTACTTAAACATGGCTTTTTAATTATAGTTATCTATACAGCCATTTTTTATTGAATTTTGAAAAAATAAATTTTACATCCTTCACCTACCGTAGTCATCTAGATGTAAATTCTTAATAAGCTATGTTGAGTCAGAGAGAAGAGTGAGGTATGTGGCAGTGATAAAATATTTATGATGCAAACCAATGCCAAGTTTTGTAGTGGAAAGGCAAATAAAACATAAGAAAGGACTTCATTCTTTGTGTTATTAAACTATTTTTTAAAGTCAAGTTGTCACAATTATTTCTAATGCAAGGTTAACTAATTTGATCAACTACCAAGTACTACATGTTTACTTTTGCTTGATCATTAAGGGAAAGTAAACATTAAGTCATTGATTAATCCCTTTATGTAGGCCTACACGGTGTGTGTTAAATGGCTTAATCTTGACAATTTTTATCCCTTTCTCATACACAGAGCCAGTAGAACGATTGCTCAGACGCCCATAATTTTTAAGCACCATATCTGTTTTAATTGTAACAATCGGATTCAGCATTTAGGAATCTGTGTACAGTAATAAACATCTTAGACTACAATACAATTGGAAGTTAAGAAATTTTGCCCATTTTAGTGATGGGGAAAAAGTTCAATTAATAAATTTCTTCAACTTGCATAATTCTTTTGTCATTTAGTTTGTTCAGATTCTGGTGAGAATAGGTTTGATAGGTTAATAGTGCATTTATTGTTAAAAGAGTTACAGTTTTGGAAAGTGCCCCTGTCATCAGGGGAATGAACAATGCCCAACATAGTCATGTTCATTTACTGTTGTAAAACAAACACATTCCACACTTTTAGGGAAATGTGAAATAAATAATGACTTACTTAACAGTACCATTCGAGTGCAAAAATGTCATGCACACGGTTTTTTAATTAGAACAAACATAAATAATTGGTGTTTATCTATATTTATTTTGAATGACAATAATTACATTGAGTATCAAAGTTCATGATATACAAAGCAGTACATAGAGTATATCTCTATAAAATATGATCTATATATTAGATTTACATTTATAAGAAAGCACAATATTTTGTTTTATGTTGAAGAATCGTCTAGGTTCTTTGATGATATTAACTAATGTATAAATATCAGTACACATGTTTGTTTAGCATATTATAACAACAGTTTTGCTATTTCTTAAGACCAGATAGTTAAAACAAAACTAAAATACCGGTACTTAAAGACATATTGTAAGAATTCATTCAAATGATATAAATGTTCCTGTATCTCATATACTGTATTATGTTGGTTTGAAAATAAATAACAGTCAAAGCATTTAACATTTTAGCCCACAGTCATAGTAAAATGTTACATGTAGAGGTATTACAACAGTCTACTGGATATGAAATTAATATTAAGCCAAAAAATGTATTCTGCATGCAGAATGGCTTTTCTTACGACACTAAAATTGCTATATTGACATGATTAAAGAGGACACAAATTATAATAAATTTAGCATTAAGACACGATATTATTTATATTACATATACATGACTAAATATGTGACCATAATATAAATGTTCATTGGTTTTGGCAAGGCCCTCTGCTGCCTTTTTATCACAGTTTGCCTCTCATTTCTGTTACCGGTACATGAATCATGAAATAAAAACATACATACATTTTTAAATATTGAAGTTACATTCACAAATCCATTATGGATTAAATTTAGAACATACATTAATTAATGTGCATAACACTGAAAGAACTAACTCTTTTATTGAAATTTGACAAAATAGTAACAAATTTAGCATATTGCCACTATCTTGCCAAGTTAAGAACCACTAAGTCCTCAACTTATCAATGAAAAAATAGTCTTCCCGTGGCAATGATAAAAAAAAACTGCATGAAAATGCAGGGTGTATCCAAACATTATCCCTCATTATTGCTTCTTAAATTTTACACACCAGTTACACATGAAAATATTTCATATAATACCGGTTCATAAATAGAATATACTTTTTCAAAAATTATTTATAAGTTTGTCAATTTTCACTTTTAGTACACCTCTCTTTGTAACAGAAAAATTTTAAATACCTGCTGCCTGCTAGGACATGGACAAAAGGAATGAATAGCTCCTGGGAACACACCCATACACAATTTTACTGGAAGACCCACATATATAATGAGAGGAAAACCTCCACAGAAAATCTTCCATCAGAAATATCTATGCCAATACTATTTTAAAATCATAAATGTACATAACAAGTTAAGTGCACAACTTAAGTCTGTAAAAATAACAATTAAGCACCTTGATTTGTAAAACAACACAGTGTGATAACATATTTTTTAAAGCAAAAATTTTTTGGGGTTAAATTAATAAGTGATGTCCCAAAACTAATGTTTCTATTAAAAAAAGGGAAACAAATTTATTGAAGAATGGAAATGGAAGATCTTCCTATATAGGTGGCGCCCCGTCAGTATAATGCAACATGGGTGAAAAAGAGTTCCTCAGGTTATTCTGTGACAGGCAGCTATATTCATCCTCACATACAGGAATGAGAAAGGCAAAAAGAAGAAATAATAACAGCAACAGATGAATGGGCAAAGCAGCACAGATGATTCGCATCAGCGGGAATGGACGGACGGTATAGGAGAAGACTTCAGTTGAAGATTCAGATTCTGTACTTAAACTGAGGAAATAAAATCAAACAAATGTAACATTAAAAAATATAATAATAAAAATAACTAGAATTGCTATGATTATTTTTGATCTTGGAGGTAAAGTATATATTATATTATTTTTATGTAAGGTTCAATCTGCATTTCCAGTGTGGAAAATGTGTGGTACCAGTATGAAGAATTTTAAAATGGATGTGAATTAAAAACTATTTTAATCATCAGCAATGATTGAAAATATGAAAAAAACTTTACAATTTGCATAACCATGTATCTATTGGCGTGAGCTATTCAGTGTTTATGTTCAGTCTCATTTTTAAATCAATAACGAAGAGGTATAATTATAATTATTATAGACTTAAACAGTGCAGTATATAAAAAAATTAATTTAAAAAATCATCTAATGAAAATGAATTATAATATTTATATTACATTTCAATTTTGAGCTTTGCTTAGCCTTATTTAATGATTGAATCTTGTATCCCACATGAAACAGTTAATGCAACAAATAATCTTAGAGGTACCGGTAATGACCTAGGTTGGAAGTAATTACATCCCTGGTTTAAGGCTTCTGGTTAATCTTTTATTAATACAGAAACTTAAAATACCAAAATAAATATTAAACAGTGATCTAATTAGGAAATTACTGTTTTCAGCACATGCATGAATTATATCCCTAAATTAAATTCCAATAAAACTTTTTAAAACCAGAAACCCATGGACACCCCTGCCTTATCCCTGCACATAACAGCTGATGGCTTTGTTGTTGTTTAGGACAAAAGCAGAGTTTTACATTATATTTATCCCTGCCCATTAATACTAGGAACTGATAACTACTGAGCTCCTCCTAAAACCTACATCAGTTTTTGTCACATAATGAGTCCTTCAGTTTTAAGGCGCAACTCCCAAACCATGAACATGGACATTTTAAACAATCATTCAATTCATGCTCTCATAAAAATGGATAATATTATAAGGTACATAATGGAAATTAATGTTTTATTAAAATAAGAAAGGGCAGGAGTTGTGGGGTATAAGAATTAAAAAAGATTAAAAACTCTGATGACATATCTAAAATGTATTGTTTTATTCCATATGATTCAGGAACTTGAAAATAGGATTTTTAAAAAAAATTATACATTGCAAAGAAAAAAAATTAGGATCCTTAGACTTAGAGAGGAAAGGTGAACATCATGTTGATGACCTTGGGGGACAAGGCCAACTTATCAAATCAAAACTAAATGTTAAGTCTTCATGTGTCTCTTGGGGGAGAAAGATGAAAACTTTTTTTATTAAAATGAATAGATAATGGAGTTTTCAGGAAAAAATAACAAAATGTTCCTTCCTTTGTTTACATAGGAATTGTTAGCAAACAGAGTTGAAAAAAGTCTGGACAAAAGGTAAGCCTTGAGATATCTTATAATCTTGATCATCATTGCTGAATTAAAGTTAATTGTTAGCTTACACAAGTAGAGAAGAGAGCCTAATAAATAATTTACACTGCGTTGTTACAACATAATAATTTCAACTAAAATTATGGTGAGTGTTAATTAGTATGACAAAAAGCATTAGATTTCTCAGTTCACACAATGTTGTGAAATGGCAAGCAAACATATGAAAGATTTTTCCCATTTATAGAATATTGACAACTGTATGTGCAAAAAAGAGAATAGAGTAATTACTAAGCAGTGAATATCAAAAACAAAATATTGTTTACCAGTAATGTAATTAGTGTAAACATTTGGACACGATTCAAGGAATGAAATTATCTAAGGTTTATGTAAATCAGATTTTATATAAGTATGGCAAGAAAAAGGGCACATTAGCACATGCTGAGTTGCATAAAAAAATGAAGTAACTTTAACTTGAATGGATCAAATATTTTTAAAGCATGCCATTTAAAAAATTTAGGTTAAAATAAACATGATGAAGCCAATTAAGTTCTTAGTTAACTTAAATGGACCATTCGGATATCACCTATGCAATGATAAGATGGTGGAGAGAAAAAAAAATGCTCTTCAATTTAGATACCCCATTTTAATAAAGTCTTATGTGTTTTGTAAATCCAATGCATTCTTGAGTAGGTCTTTAATTGAATGACTTCAGTAACACTTCTTGAATAAGACATATGTGCCAACTAAGACCATGGATTTGAAACTTTTCTGCCACTCAAATTATTTATATTAAACAGATTTCTATATAGCTTGTAAAATGATTAGTTTAATCTTTTTTTTTTTGCTAGCTAACCCACATTCCTGAAAACACTAACTATCATTTGAAAAAGGTCAGGCATATGAGACTTTCATAACAAGAGCGATTTATTTTAATAAATTGTGTCAGTAGTCTATGTCTTAGGATATGTGCAAAGTTTCCTGTGTCAATTTGTGTGATAAAAAAAAACAACATAAAGTGAAGCAAAATCTAGGAACTGGCTTAGTATCTAAGTAATGAAGTGTAAACAAGTATGCTTTACTAGATCACTTACTAAACTGCATTTGTGTATACAATGGTTAGTTAATTTAATTTTTGCATAGTGAGACAACAAAAATTCTACTTGGATAATTGGAAGAAAACCAGATCCATAAAACTATTTTAAAAAATGTACATAGATGTTTAACATTGTACTTTCTCGAAATCAGTGGTTCTCAACCTTCCTAAAATCAAGACCCTTTAATACAGTTCATGTTGTGGCGACCCCCCAACCTCAAAATTATTTTCGTTGCTACTTCATAAATGTAGAGCAGATGTGTTTTCTGATGGTCTTAGGCAACCCATGTGAAATGGTTGTTCGAGCCCCAAAGGGGTCAAAACCCACAGGTTGAGAACCACTACTCTAAATGGATGT